TCTCAATTTCCTACTCTTTAAAATAAGGGTTATAATACCAACCCTGCTGAAGTGACATAGTGATTGTACATAAAGTGCTTGTTTGGCGTAGTCTCTGACACATAGCAAAAGCTCAATAAACAATAGCTGCTATTAAAATTACACTTTGCCAATCCTGCTCTTACAACACCCACATATCATCCTAGGTCCCATTTATTTTAAGCTTTGTTTCCTGAGACTGAGATAAACGATGGAACACACTCACATTTATCAAAGGCAGGCTGGTAACAGTGCTGTAACCCAATGCACTGGGAGTTTCCAGTAGATAGAAAGCCAGGAGAATATTTTAGAGCAAATAAGCCTTTTAGTAGTGCTCAAACTGCACCATTTCGACAAGTGTCTATTTCCCAACCCTAGAGTCAGCCCTGTTGATTATACACTAGTATGAAGAGTCTATAATTAACTTAATTCAAAACAACAGTGTCACTCAGTATAGGGCCTTGGTCTTAATTGGAGCACTGTTTCCTCAGCCCTTGTACAGTACCTAGTCCATGGTAAACATTCCAATATTTTTTAAAGAAATGAAGGCATAGGGGAAACCTGGATTGAGTCCCAGGCTCCTGGCTTTGGCTTGGCCCAGTCTTCACTGTGGCGAGAATTTGGGGAGTGAACTAAGGGATGGGAGATACCGCTCTCTCCCTTGCTTCAAATAATAACTTTTTAAGAAACAGGAATGAAGGTATAAATGAATCAACAGAGACAGCTTAGCTCTCGAGTAAGTCTTCACAAAAACAAGCATAATCATCACATTAATACTGATTAAAAGTTATTTTCAAAATAACTTTTCTTCTAGCTGTTGATTTTAACAATTCTCCAAGTTAAAAAAAAAAAGCTAATTATCAACCTCAGTTCATTAATCTATTAAAGAATTTAAAGTAGTCCCATAATGATATATCTTCCATCTTTATCCCCTACCTTCTACCTAAAAAAAAAAAAAAAAAAAAAAAAAAAAAAAAAAAAAAACACTAAATCTGTAACAACAGTTATCTAAACCATCTGAGTTTAAGCCATAAAATTAACTAAGTCACTGGCTAAGATACTAACCCTAACTAACCCCTAGCAGGTAGAGAAGTATGGGGATTCAAAGCCTTAGTTCCACTCTCAATGAAGCTTCTAAGCACTTACACAGCCATGTACAAGCTAGTTAATTTGAAATAATTCCTAGTTTTTGGAGTTTCCATTTTCTCATTAGCAGAATAGGAATAGAAATACATTTATTACTTCTAACTTCCTTAAGTTGTTTTAAGGACCAAACACAAGTAAAATGACTTCCCAAATAATAAAATGGCATACAATTGTAAGGTTATTAACTTTGGACACAGACATCTCCACATTTCAGGTGGGTGGATTCCATTTCTCTTTTTTACCACTCCCCCTATTTCCTAGACCCAAAGATCTTCCAGGATCTGGAGAGAAACCAGTTCACATCTATGGGTATAGCTCAAACACAGTGGGCCCTCCACATACATTAGAAATCAACAAATTCTGATACACGAAATATCTTTCTTTGTAAAGGTTGGTCAGCAGGTTACTTTCAAGTAAAACAAGTGATGTAACACACACAAAGACTGACTGTTTTCTGTTGGGAGCTTCCTCAGCGCACATTACTCACCACGCAAGTTAATATTCATCCCATGTGAACACACACCAAAGGAATGGGTGTCAGTGTTTTGGTTTCACTTGAGACATGATTTCTGCATAAAAAACTATTTTCTCCCTCTTAAATACTAAGATTTCTAAAGATGCCAGATTCCTTCTTTGGCTTCGGTACACATAGGGAAAACTTTTGAAAACATACAATCATTTCTCAAATCATTATGACAATCTTATACTCATCAATAAGGAAGATAGCTCTTTTTGAAAACCACTAAGATATTCTAATATCTACATTTTAAGATTACTTCCAGTCCACTATAATTTTTCAAAACAAAGCACAACTTTTAAATGCAAAAGATTGTGGTTCCTCTGAACATTATAAAACACCTCAAAAGTAGATCTTAGGATAATTTTACTTAGTTCCTGAGAGAACAACAACAACAGAAAAGGTGATGTGGGTGTCACAGATCATCCATTAATAATTTATATTATACCCCCGGAAGGTGGTTTTGTTTTACAGTTGAATATAGTACCATTGAGATGTAAAATCCTTAACAGTTAAATCCAAATAATTAAACCACCTACAAAAGCAGTCACCACCCAATGCAGTCTTTTTTTGCTCATTTACCCAACTACATTCTACTGCTGAAATGTATGACTTCTAATTTGTTACAAAAGAACTTTATGTGCTCATTTTTGTCCTTTGTGTCTATTAAGGTTCAAGGGATATTCATGAAATAATATAACACTGTAGATGACACTGTAATATATATTCATGAAATAATATAATGCTGTAGATGGACTTGTAATATATATATTACATGAAATAATATAACACTGTAGATGACAATTTCAACATACTCTCCAAACAAGTTCTTTTCCCTTAAGATTACAGTAGTTAATTATCTAATATTTAAAACATGGCCAGTGTTATAGTCTAACTCTTGTTCTTCTAAACCCATCAAAATAAGAGGTACACAAATTTGTTTAAGACTCTGGAACTACACCAGAAATGATAAAGCAGCATCATTCAAGACTGTCCACTTGAGAATGCAGACAGACACAGAATTCTCAGTTGGTTCCAGAACTACATTCTCGGTATAGAGCATCTACGGCATCTATTTCAGGATCCGGTCTTCTACATCTTGAACACAGCAGCAGTTCTGTAGAGTTAGATGAAAAGCCCATATGAAATGGAAGCAAGGCAACCTATTCAGGCAGGAAGGATAGGGACTTCAAAGTTAGCAGACTCAAGGTGTGAGCCCAGACTTTGCCCCTCTGGAGCTACATACCTTTGAGTAAGTATTTAATTCTCTGAGCCTCAATGCACTTCTCCTTAAAAAGACCAGACCACCACCCTCTGAAATCTATTTTGTAGATCAAGCCCCTCAGTCTGGGTTCTAATTACTGCAGATCCCTACTACATGGGTGATGCTCTTATACACTAAAAGGCCAATTCACAAATGGTTATAAAGTATCTCATTATGGGGACCATAATTAAAGTGTATGAGATTACTTAAAGCTGTAATACTTTTACAAATCTCTTTTCTAATTATTTTAACATATATAAGTTAACATTTCAGAAAGGGTAAAAAAATTTTCAAATTGACCTACATGATCAAAGGTGGAGCTTCAATTATCAACAGAAAGTCAAATAAGTCCTTATTTTTAAAACATATTTGGTGCTTATATGAATTCAAATCTCACAGTCAAAATCTTTAAAACTTTCTGAAGAAAGCTGCATTTTCAGACCCAGATAAAGCCCAGTTGTCTAAACAATGGGCTACATGATACACCACAGACTCCAGGCAAAGTCACAACAGGATGAGAAAAGAGCCTTCAGCCTCTCTCAGATTTCCTGGCCACTGTTATTTTAAAACTTGATTACGTAAATATAAACAGGGAAAAAGTACATTTCACATCAGCCCATGGGCTATGATTTAAGATCTTTGTTTTTACTACCTCATATTATTTACATTAAATATTATAATTGCTCATTACAAAAATGTTTAAGCATGATCATCTTTTCTTTCTGTTACTACCTTTTACCATTAGTTTTTGAAAACAAAAATGTAACTTAAAGAGCTGTGAGAGCAGTATCATGTCACATAGAAAATACAATGCAATGGGCAAATCTGCATAAGACTAAAATGACCCCTGTTTACCACTGTGGATGCAATTCCTGCTTAACTGAAAATACTCAAATGAGCTGAATTATTTAAAAGTCAATGAGCTATTTTGAACGACTGCATTGTTTGAAGCTCTGGCTAAAGCCCACTTTGTAACATTTGTAGCAGTTTCTAAAATTAATGATAAAAGGCATGGAGGTAATTTTTTTCACTGAATATTTCCCAATTGGAAATACACAACCCAAGAGATCTATGAAGTGCAGTTAATTTGTACAGAAATGCTGCTTTGCCGTCAACCTTTGTACCATGACCACTACCAGTCCAAGATTCACATTTTATGGTGTGAAGATAGTTTCAAGTAAGCTTTAAAGCATATTAATTTTTCAAACTCTCAAAGTCTGACTATACTTAGATATAATAAATCCATACCAGCAGAGCATAACAGCAAATCACTTTTATTTAGCACGTACAACAGTCTATTAAATTGGAGAAGTGTTCCTACTTCTTCACTAATATCTGTAGATTAGGTTTTAAGCATCCTTCCACCACATACTTTACGCCAAATAAAACGAACCAAGCTTCCTGAAAACTATGGCAATATTTCAGACAAGGATGTTCTAGCAATAACCCTATCAAACGGCTTCCTAACTAAAATTGAGATCCTGGAGTCTTAACTTTTTCACCTCATTAAGTTTTTGCAAACAGAAAAAAGTGATCTTTCCAGTAACATATCTGTAAATTAACATACTCAAGGTACTGGACCTCCCAGACAGCAAAAATACTAAGTCCCAACTTGGTCTTCAACATGATTAAACTATTAATGGTATCATTTCACATCTCAGAACGAACTGTACTCTTCCTGCCCTGAATCTTAAGCGAGTTTACAAAAGAGAAAAAAAAAAAAAAAACTATCGCGCAGTGTGCAAGGCAGAGTTGGACACCTGAGTGCTATGCTTCTACCTTGGAGCCAGGGAAGAAACACAAAGGTACCTTGGTGATGACAAGCCCATGAAAGGAGACTCTCATTGTCTGTCTGGAAATGAGAACCACCCTGGCAGGACGGTGAGCCGCCACCGCCCCGGCCCACCCATCACCTGTTGGTCCCAACCGCGTTCCTCAGAGGTGAGCCGAGTCTTCAGCCCCAGGGCGGTCAGAGAAGGCCTCGAAGCAAGGCCGAGCCAGGAAAAAAGCGTCCTGGCGCGGCCGCCCCACAGTGTCCCGGGCGCGGACACTCACCGGTGCTGCAGCGAAGGCAGGTGCGCGGCGGCGGGGCTACCTGTCGCCGGTGAAGCCGGAGGGCGGGGTTAGGGGTGCCGAGGGGATCGGGAAGAACGACGACGCGGACTGCACCAGGACGGGGCTGCGGCGGCGGCGGCCAGGCTACTGCTTGCTTCCTGCTCGGACAGATCCCGGGTCGGTCTCCGCCCGCCGGCCGGCGCCCCACAGAGTCCCCGGCCCCGCCGCGCACACGTCACGGCTACGGAGCGCCCGAGGGGGCGGGGGCGCCAAGGGCCGGGGCGGGCCGACGGGGTGCGCGGGCGCGGGGCGCGCTCCCGAGCGGAGTGGGGCTGTCCTGCCAGCCGGCGTGGAGGCCGCGGCGTGGGTGGGTGCTGCTCGGCGTGGGAGGGGTGCAGCTGGCCAAGCTGGGCGCCTTCGCTCCTCTCCAAGCGAAACGGCGCCTACGCAGCGGATATTGTTTCCAGTCGCTGCCGACTGGATCGCGGGAATGTGCAGCGTGCAAACCGCAGTGAGCTCCAGGAGAGAGAAAGTGCGTCCGAGACAGGGCGAGGACCCCCGAGACACCAGGGGGTCGCGAGGAGAGACCCTGGCGATCTCGGCCATAGTCCGGGTGGGCTGCCCTGCGTGGGTATCAGCCTTCCTGCGCAAATAGTTCGCCATTCCTGCCTTAGCAGGAGGGGGCTGAGATGGAAATCTCTGAGTGTCCATCCCGGGTGTTTTATTTTGAAGAGCCCCTGTCTTCCCGGTCACTTAGATTTTACTGTTCTTATAAATATGAAGCACCTATGCAAATTTGTTTTATACGAGGAAACTACGCAGTCTGCTACTACGTTGCTTTTAGGACGAAAAGAAGTTCCAGTTAAGAAAATGAAATAAATGTAATGCTAGATATTTCTGCTGAAACTAAAATACTTAACACGTAAGCACTACACTGTTTTCCGCAACATGTAAAAGTAGCAACGGGGAAACTTCCGGAAATTTACAGGAGAAACACGTAGCATCAGATGTCAAAGGTTCCCCCAGATCTCTGGGTGGAAAGGCTAAGTTCTGATGAGATATTGTAGCATACAACCAAAATAATAAAACATTGAGAAAAAGATGGAGAAGTAAGAAAGAGGAAGCGAAACCAAGCAAGGAAATAATTCATAGCAATCTCGGAAGTTTATTTCCAGATTGCCACAAGATAAGTCTTCAGTCGATTCAAAAGGAAAGAAGAAAAAAAAATGAAGACTTAGTTTACCGCTTTGAATTAATTTTGGATTTAATATTAAAAGCCTTCGGGAAGTTAATAGAAGCCAATTTATTTTGACTAGTTTCTGTGGCTTATCACTTACATCTCTTCCTCCCCACCCCCCACAGATTGGATAATCTGTAACTGAGTCCCTCTGCTTCTAGCTCTGTAATTCTTTAATGTATCCAATTCCTCTTCATAACCACTACAAGTATCGTGTTCCCGGCCGCCATCATTTCAAGACTTGCACACTGCCCTTGGCACATAAGCAGTTTCCCAGACTGCAAACTCGTCCCCTTTAAATTCAGTCTCCACTAGTTCATCATTGATAAAACTCTTCGTATCTACTCCTCTATTTAAACTCCTATAGAGCAGTACTGCACCCTCCTTATTCTAAGTCCAGACCCCTTAAAATGTCTCATAAAATCCCATTTAATTTAACCACTACTCACAGACTATGAGATTTTTTGTGTGAGCTGAATTTGAATGCCTTTTCATTGGTCAGCTGGTTCCCGGTTCACCACTGTCCTAAACCCCACAAAGCTGTCCCAACCAGGCTTCTTCACACAATGTCACTTGCCTGTCTTAGGAATCACTTCCGTTTTGGACCACCACCCTAGCCCTACTTATCTGTGCAATCTCATTTCTACCCAGTGTCTTTCCCTCATTTTTTGTGCTTTACCTTCAAGTCCTCCTGAAGTGCTTGTGTGCCCCAGAAAAGACAGCTATGCTGTTTATCAAACTGAAGTGTTACAAGGATAAATCCAATTAATCCTTCAGAACAAAGCCCATTTGTCCCCCCTCAAAGCAGCTTTCTCTAAGCACCCTTGTGACAATTTGTATGCGCAATTTGGCGCTCTTTCCCATCTCTCCCTTAGCACCCATTGTGCAGATCTCTTCCAACACATATTTTAGTATTGCTACTTAATGTGCTTCTAAGTATCTCCCACTTGGACTCTCTGCTCCTGAGAGCAGATAGGGCACTTGTCTTTGTGTCACACATCATGGCTTTCACATGGTAAGCGCTCATTGAATAGTACCTACCATTAGTATTACCATTACTATAAATGGGACAGATAGATGAAAAAATTGCAAGGAAGTTGATAATTTTAGGAAATTGCAGAGTTTCACTACGTGTAGTGGATATATCTCCAACCTAATTGTTGCCAAAACTCAACAACTTAGCTCATGACTACATCTGTGAGTTTTTCAGCTTTCATCTCAGCCACTAAATACCTGTTAGACTCTCCTCTGCATGTTCTGGTGCTACCCCAGGGATTCCTAGACTGAGATCCACAGATCTCCCCACCATGGCTGGGAAGTTCCATGAACTTCTCCGAAACAATACGCAAAATTTTGTAATTTTGTCTTCATTTTAGTAGGAATCCATATCATAGGTGTATAAATGATCTCCATACACTCCCCCAGCTATTATGCATTTCAACAGACTTAACTGGATCTATGTTGGCAACTCCTACAGTAAGGCAGACTAAATACCTACAGATATATCACAGAAACTCATTGCTCTGGTTTAGATATAATTTAGTAGTCTCCCAAGATTCCATGGGATTAGAGGACTGGCATCCAGGGCCGTGGGTTTAAGAGATGCCATGGAGCCTTCAAGAGGTAGGACCTGGTCACTGTGGGCCAACCCTGCCCTCAGAAAGGATTAAGATAGCTCCCATGTGATCTCCTGGTAGTTCATGATAGGGTTGTTTTTATAAAAGGAGCAAACCTCTCACAACCCAGCTCCCTCTCTTATTTCCTGGTCAAGATGTGAACTTTCTCCTACACATTCCCTGTGGAGCCCTCATCAGAGTCTTCACTCTACCATTTGGACTTTAAGCCTTCAAAACTGTGATTTAAACTTCTCTTCTTCTTAGGTAGTTTTACCAATGTATTTCACTATAGTGACATAAAACTGACCAATACAATCACTATGTTTCTCCTCTCACTTGACTCAATTCGTTTGCCAAATCCTATTATGACTTTAAGTCATCCAGGACTCTTTCCATTCTTCAGTCCTAATTTTGGAATCACCAACCCAATTCATTCTGTCATAAATTATTTCCACATTAATGCCTTGCTCTCTATCTGCACTTAGTATGTCCCAGCATCTTCTTTTATCTGAACTCTTGGCACTGCTTCTATGCATTCTGATCCATTCTCTCCACCACTCCTAGAGAGTTACCTCTCCCAATATCTAATTATGCCATGGACTTTATCAAGTTCTGGTGCTTTTTCATGATTCTTTTCTTAACTAAACTTTAATCAGGCTTCTAAACCTTCTCCTAGGCCCATCTATGTCCTTCCCTATAAAGCCCAGTTTTAGGAAGAACAATGCTAAGTCAGTTTAGCAGGGATTGCCCCTAGCACCCTGATATTTCATGAGGTTCTTCATCCTCTACCATTGCCCAGGTGATGTGTAATCACCCTGGCCTATCTTCAGCAATAGTCTTGTTAGGTTGTTATAACCAGAATCCACTTTACCTCTGATGTTAGCTTTCAGTAGTTTTTCATCCATGGATGTTAATCCAACTCCTTGACTATAAATTCCCATTTGCACAGGCTGTATTCAGAATTAAGACCAATCTCTATAAAACCTCACTGCCACAATCCCCATACCTATCACAGTGGTCCTGAATAAAGTCTTCCTTACTGTGCCTTAACAAGCATCATTAAATAGTTTTTTTTCTTTCATACCTTTCAGATAAACTTAAATTCATTCATATGGTATACAGAATACTTCGAAATCCTTAGCCTACACTGTAGTCAAAGGAATTCATCCATGCATGCAACTTCATGATGCTCCTATAAGTCTCCACAATTCATTAAACTATTGGTTTCTCTGTCCTGACTTTATAGCAAAATTAGTTTTCCTTTTCCATCTTTTCCAGAGCACCACTTCATATCTATTGATGTAGCACTCATTAAGTGGTTTCATAATTATGTCCTCATACCTATTTCTCCCTCAATTAACACTCTCAAATACTAAGCTTTTAAATTAGAAACTTTGTTGTTGTTTTTTTCTTATCCCTAAAGATTAGCACACTGCCTGAATCATTGAATTAGTAAAAATAACAACATTAAAATGTACTGATTGCTTTCTATGTGCCAGCATTGCACTTAGGACTACATAGGTCATTGCGTTAACTCCATAGCCTTTGTTTGTTTTTGCTTTTTGTCTGTTTAGCTTCTGAATTCCATCCTGCTTCTAGAAAATGCTGCATTTTGAATCTTGGTGAATGGCAGGGACTACTTCACATTTTGGAAACTGATTTGTACCAGAGTGTCGCTCCCCCTCTTCGTGGAGGAACGACACAGGACCCTGCGCTGTTCTTTCGTCTGCTCGGCCCTCCCCGGGTTTGCTGCTGGTTCTTCCCGGGTTGGCTACTATCCCTTCCACCTCCGTGGAAGGGCAGTTCCCCCTGGCCGCATTCCCCACTTCCGCAGGGGAGCGGCACACCGCCGGCCGGCTCTCTGGGGGGCTGCACGGGTTCCCTTAGATGTTCCCCATAGATGTTCCTGGTGCATGCCGTCTCTCTCCTCCTTTATAGTCCTTCTCTGCCAATCCCAACTCGGCTGCCCACACGCCGAGTACGCTGCTCTCCAATCAGGAGCAAGTCCTACAGTTAATTGGTTGAACTGGAGGCAGCTGTGCGGAAGCTGTTTACTTCTCTCCCAGCGCCATATTGTGGGAGAGCAGATGCATAGAATAAGTCTTAATTCCAGTAACAGTCTAGTCCGGTTTGCTCCCCACAGATCCCCCTTTCTTTTTATTTTTGGCGTTGATACGCGCCTGTCTTCGGTGTCCCGCGGCACACACTCTGCTCTACTTGCTAGAGTTGCCACAGGCTCTTACAAGTCCTATCAATCAGGAAAACCGAATCCGGGTCCTCTCTTCGCCATGTTGTG